AATCAAGAAAAAAGTGAAAATTTCCCTTCTCGCTACCTTAATACATATAAATAAATACACATGTTCCCGGTCTATGACCTTAGTTACACAGAGCGCAAAAATACGCCCAAATACCCAGAACAAGTATTCCCAGATTTATCGCTGTTTCGGGATACGAGTATACAATCTGTTCCTTGCCAACCTTCGCACCACCTGATAGTCACGTGATCCAGATGACATCACAGTCACGTGGGACTTCTAAAAGTCGCGTGATTCAAAAAACGTTTACAAAATACAATGAAAATGATTCAAAAATGTTTACAATGAAAATTGTGAACTTTATTTGTAAGGATTTAAAGGATCGTCCTGTCGTGTAGCGGAATTTTTTACTAATAACACAATCGTGGTTATTTCAGGACCCATCAATGGCGCTACCGAAGGGTACATTGTTAGCCATTCTCTATACTACCATTACCTACTTACTTATGGCGTGGTTTGTTGGACTGGAGGTAGTGCGTGACGCAACAGGTGATGTAGATGATATCGAAGGCGGTAATTTCACAAAACTTTGCAATGTTCCAGACTATGAATGCGAATACGGTCTGATGAACAACGCTCAGGTCAGTATCATCTTGTTCACAATCCACTGAATACAGCGGATAAATCAAAGAAGTTTTTATCATTTAATTAAAAGCCAGTGTCCTATGACAACTGTACAAGGACTATTACAGCGGGAGGGTCGTCACATGCGCACGTGCGGGAATTGAGTCCCAAGCGACGATAACAACACACGCTAAAAACGCAAAAGCTCATGGCTAGACGCTTGTTTGTAAACAATAACACGCTATGTCCATCTGACGCATGCGCAGGTGACGATTTTTAAGATTAAAATCAGGTCTGCGGTACCAAATTTATTTGAAATGCGTTGAGTGTTTTTTTGATTTGTTAGTTAAACTTTGTAAATGGACTATTATGTAATTATTATCAGTGCGTGGAGTACCGGCGGTTATGTCACTTGGTTATTTGTATAAACGAACGAACGTATATGCTGTATGCATTCACTCGGTTAGAGCATTGAATGGAATCAGAAGTTTCGGAACGCCATCTTTTTAACTGAAAGAAACACCTTTGATATACTTCCAATTACAGATTATAAGTATGGTTTCGTGGCTGCCTGCATTTGTTATACTTGGTATTTTCGCAGCAACTCTGTCTTCGGCTCTAGCCAGTTTGGTTGGTGGGCCAAGGATATTTCAGGCAAGTATTGAATATTGTTAGTCGTTCACAAAAGTCGAAGGAAAGTACGCGAACAATTTAAATGTCAAGTCACTGCACAGGTCACGCCCGGTGATGACGTAACTCGATTGAAACAAACGTATGGCTAACCATGGTATAACTTTTGTTTGTTACCACTTTATCCGTA